CACTGGCTAGTATCAACATCTAAGCAGGTTCTCAACAGGCTCCCTTACAGGCTGGAGCTACCCTGCTTTCCCATGTCTATGCTCTTCAGCTCACAGCTGACATATTCCCAATTACTGCATGTCTGAAGTGTAATCTCAGGTGCAGCTTGGAACATACTCTCCCATCTCTGGTCCTTGAGGACCATATGGGCCCTATTTCTGAAGCATCCTATCCCTGGATGTTCCTCTGAACTTTTAGGGGTTTCAAAACAAGCCTCAGATTTTCTTTAGCTTTTATTTGCTGACAGCACATCTCCTTTCACCTCCATTACCTCAGGAAAGGGAGGTTCTGTTTGTTTATGAAGGAGAAGTTTTGCTTATTTCTTCATATTACTTACTTTTCTTTCCCAAGAAGAAAAAAAAAAAGGTTTTACAACTAAAATCAAAATACAAACACACACACACACACACAAAAGTCCAAAGTTACATGCATAAAAGGAAAGGGAATTTCTGTTGATCATCTTACTGTATGAGTACTTTGTCTCTTTCTTAATCTCACCATCCTCCTCATATTCCCTGCAGAGAAAAAGGACTGGGATGAGAACCAAAACAGTGCACACACACCCCTGCTAAAGGCAGAATACATTTCACCAATGAAATGCACAGACAGATCTCTGGCAAGACAAGCTTATCTTTATACATAACCTAGCTCTTCTCTGGACTACCTGTTCTGAAGACAGATTTTCTGTACCAGGAGAAAACTGTACACAAATGCTCAACAGCCACAACCTTTTTATTCCCATGTTTTGAACAAGGAGGTGTACACTAGATTGATGAGGAACAATCAGAATTAAATATAGTGAGACAAGCTGGCCCAAATCAAATCTCTAACACATGCTGCACCATAAGCATGCTAAAACTGAAAAATTATTTTTCACATCTTCACTACCTTTGACCTTTTTTTTAATATGACATGAAAGACGTTTGGAACATGAATTCTGTGCAGTCACACCTGCATAATAGCTAATAACATTCGTACTACCATCAGTGGAATTATTAGCAATAGCAGAAATGTTTTCCCTATTTGGGTTGCAACTATGAGCAGAGCAGTTAACATCTCTCAAGGAAATTAAAGTGATTCTCTAAAGGAAAAAAAAAAATCCAAGAGCTCTAGAATTCTCTTACTATTAAGAGGTTTTTTTATATTTGGTTTTTATTTTTCCCTTCAGTATAAGGAAAGAAAAAGGATTGTGATAGGATCCTGGTAACACAACAGCCTCATAAACTACTTTTAAAGATTACTTTAACTTACTTGGAATCTTCATATTCAACCCACTGGTACATTTCCACGTTACGCTTAAGTTTGACAGCTTGGATGGAGAGCCCATAGCTGGGGTCAAACAAAGGCTGTGCAAAATTTAAAGAAAGTACAAGTCAGTCTAAACGCTGTACCTCACAACTTCAAACACTGTACTTTTACTAGTGAACCCATTTATATACCTCACTGTACAGCTAGCACTAACTTACACACAGGTAAACACAGTATAAACATTATGGAAGACAAAAAGAATGTCTCTGGCAAAACCGACCAGAAGAATCATCATCAAAAGTTACTGTCATAGTGAACAATGAAACAGAACTGCTGACTATGGGTTTACAGGTTTCAGTGTTTAAACCAGGAGATTCTGTTTTGCTGGAAGGTGCTGTGTTACCTTCTGCAATGTGAGTGGACCATGAAAAATGTCACCACTACTAAAAAGTAAAAACTTGCAGAACTCCTGTGCTTGCAAGACCCTGAACACTTAACAATATCATGAACGCACAACAGGTCCCCTACAAAAATGGCAATTGAAATTATCCATGAAAGGCAGCTTGAGGGTAAACACAGCTAGAGCTGGCATTGGCTTGAAGAAGGGAGTGCAAGGTCATTCAGCATCTCCCTGATTCCAGCCCAAGAACCAGAGCTTGAGTGGTAGATACCAGTGCAGAGAGGAGGATAAAAGCCACGTGTCTTTTCCTGGATATCAAACAAAACTTTGAATGACAAAGACTTTTCCTTCCCTCCAAGCTTGAAATACTCATATCTTCAAGATACTATTTTATTTACCTTAGATGTACTCAGAGCTCCAGCCAAGTGCACCAGTCTCCCCTCATTCTGCTGAGAGATACTGAGGATGCCGTCAAGAGGGACCACAAGAGAAAGCCCCTCATCGAGAGACTTGGCTGTCCTTAAAGCTCGTCCCTGCAATGAAGAAAACATAAATCAAGTTGTGGAGAATCGATGTCACAGCAGCATTTTGTGAACAAGATTAGCAGCATCACAAGAACTGATGACCACAAGGAGTCCTTGTATATTCAGCCCAAAGCATATTTTTCAAACACACTTGTACTTCTCCATTCTCGGTCTGAGCCAGCTTGGGGCACTACTTCTCACCCAGGCAGCAGGACCATTAACATTGACTAAGCTTCTCAAACAGACCCAAATTCTTCCAACACAGATCTAAACTTACTGCTCCGCACCTCTTACCTTGTTCATCATTCCTCAGTAACTGCAAAAATGATACAAATTATGGTTCATTTTCTACACACCTATATTGACTCCTTGGCAGAAGTTTTTCCTGCCTTATCATCATATCCTGATGGGCTTTTTTTCTGCAAAGTTATCAAAATTTGAAGTAGTTATTTTTCCTCTTGTAGAGGTATGAAAAGAAGTCTCTACATGAAAACCCATAGAATTCTGATCTCCACTCCAAAATTGCCAAAACAAGTATGTTTTCAATGGTAGGGTGTTAAGATTCCTGGATGACTTTTTTTTTAAAACCTCAAACCAAGAAATAATACTGAGAAACTCTGTATTATTTCTGAGAACTCCTCTAATTTTGCAACATGGGGTATGAATTTTTTTAAAGTAATTATAACACCACTAGAAATTAGGACCTTTTGTTATCTCACGAAAAAAGAGGGCTGGCTCACACAACCCTCTTACCACAGGCTGTTTCATCACCAGTTTACAAGCTTTGGATGTTATCTCTCATCACACACTGCTACTGTCTCTACTATACCTATTTCCAGAGAAACACTACCTGTGGCCTGTGACTTCACTTTTCTGTTACATCCCAAGCGTAAGCACCAGGTCCCCAGACAAAATCTTCTCTTCTCAAAGATCAATTAATGCTGTGTACAAACACTGACAGTATTGCACTTACTTCATTGGTAAAAAGAAGGTAGAAAGCCAGAAGAAATGTCACAAGTCCAATCAACATGCCTCCAGAAGTCTCACCGAGCCGCTCCAGGAACCCTGGTTTGCGCTCACTTGTGATTTTAACATGCTCTTTTCTGCCGCCTGTGTCAGAGAACTGATGAAAATAAACAAAAGTGCAATACTGGTGAAAGGGGAAAGCATTCAGTTTCAAAACAAGTCTTCTAGCTTCGTTAGCACTGCTGCCCTACAGAGAACCTCTTGCCTTGGACCAAAACTTTCCCACACTTATAAAATGCCTTAGCACACTTTTAGTACCAGAAACACATTCAATAAATAAAACTCCAGCCTGGTAGAAAAAACCCGCAATTTCTATTATAGTGGTTCTATACACGTTCAAGCTTTCTTCGGTCTGCCTCCAGGTTCTGTATTTGGAGTCCACACCCTGCATTCATGCCACGACAAATTGAGTAATAGCCCTGAATTCCTGACCAGCTAAAACACTGCTATAAATAACAAATTATGATTCACCTCACCAGTAAAAAGTGTGCCTGCACACTCTAAAATAATTATATCCAGGTTGACAATAACTCAAAACAAGGCACAGGGCTAACATGAGAGCCCAGGGGTTTTTCTGCGCGTAGGCAGCTTGTGAGGAGTTACCAAATCCAACTGCAGCACACGCACACAGCCAAAGCAGGGCACGGAACTTCTCTGTGTACGGAAAAACCACACTACGAAAAGCCAGTGTCCATAAAGGAGAACGAGAACTCCTGTAACTTTATTCGAATAAAGTCAGTCCAACAAGGAGAGTCCAATGGGGTACACAGCCGCGGAGTTTTCTCGAGGTTTCGGGGGGCACAGCCTCCTTTCATCCTAAACTGGCTGCTCTTGCCTCTCCCTTTCCCCACCGGCTCCTCGGAAGGTGGACAGAGCCTTCCCGAACCGCCTTCCACATATCCCCCTCCTTGAACCCACTGTTTTACCTCAAAGTTCAGGTCTGTGGAGACCCACTTTCTGTTTCACGAGTTAGGCTGTGTGGGCTCTGTAACAAACCTGCTGCTCAAAGTGCACAAACTCAGGCTTGTGCAGACCCCCTTTCTGTGTCAGGAGCCAAGCCGCCTCAGCTCGGCAACCAGCCTGCTGCCCAAAGTCAGTAGCGACACGAAGACCCATTTCCAAGACATTAACACCCATACTTTCACCCATCGAATTATTTGCAAAGACATCAGCACACATCTTCCCTCTCATCTAGCTCATCTGGAGACGCCCGGCGGGCTGCGACCGGCACAGGGCCGTGGCCGCAGCCCTGGCACACCGGGGGCGAACGGGCCGGAGCGAGCAGCACTTACGTTCCTCGACATCGTGAGCCTCTCACTCCCCCCGGGAACCACAACTCAGGGGCCGCCAGAGCCGCGCACCGCCAGCCGCGCCCTCACCCGCCTCAGGGCTGTCCCGCCCCGCGCCGCTCCCGCCCGCAGCGGCGCACGGCGGGATGGGGAAGCCCTTCCTCCCTCCTTCCCTTCCCGCCTCCCTCTCTCTCCGCCCCGCGGCCGGGCGCGGGGCAGGCGGGAGCTGTAGTGCGGCGGGGCCGGGCCTGGCGGAGCCCCGCGGCCGGCAGGAGGTGCGTCAGCGGCCGCCTCGGGGCCGGGAAGGCGCTTCCGGAGGCGGGAGGTCGCGGCGTGGAGCGGCGGCGCGGCGCTGCCCGAGCGGTGCCGGCGGGACGGCAGGAGCGGAGCGGCGGGGCCCGCGTGCGGCGCGCTGCGGAGGAAGGCACCGGCCGGCTCCGCCATGTCCTACTGCAGGCAGGAAGGTGCGCCCGAGCGTCCTCCCAATGTCACCCCGCCGGGCGGGCTCGCCGGGGGTGGGTGCGCCGCGGGGTGACCGCCCGCTGCCCGCAGCCCGCCAGGGGAAGGCGCAACCGGAGGGGAGAGGAGGCGCGGCTGCCGCCCGCGGTCCGCGTGTAGCGGCGGCAGCGCCGCCTCGCCTCCCGCCGCCGACCTTTCTCCTCGCGGAGGGCGGCGGGGCCGTGAGGCGGCAGCGCGGTGCCGGCCGTGTGGGCACGGTGAGGGCCCGGTGTGGGCACGGTGTGGGCACGGTGAGGGCCCGGTGTGGGCATGGTGAGGGCACGGTGTGGGCACGGTGAGGGCCCGGTGCGGGCACGGTGAGGGCCCTGTGTGGGCACGGTGAGGCCCCGCAGCGGCCGGGAGCGGCCGGAGGTGCCCGCAGGGACCGCGTGTGGCCTTGGAGCGGCTGAGGCATGCGGGCAGGGCGGCTCCCGGCCGCGGGGCGCCTGCTGCCCGCAGGGGTTACATTTATCCCAGCCCAGCTGAGTGGCCAGAGCTGTGGGGTTTTGCCTTTTTCAGGTCGATGGACAGGGTGGGTATAGTGCGAGCTATTCTGTATCTGTATCGTGTTGTACAGGTTGGTGGTGTTTATGAGGCTTAACCACTTCTTAAAGTGGGAGATGCGTAGATAAGTATGTATATCTACTTATATATAAATAAAGATCCTTTCTCTCTTAAGTAATGCCAAGTGGCTGAATGTAAAGTTTCAGGTTGGGAAAAAAGCACCAATAGTTCTAAATGCCATTTGTAAGTTACAAACTTGGCCACAAACTATAAACTTTATTGAGGTAATCATAATGTGTGGACCTCTTTTATGCTTTATGCTGTGCTTTGTTTAGTTTTGCAATATCTGTAAGTTGCTTTATGCAACCCTACAAAATTGCAATGACAGGGTTAGAGTTCATGTGGACTCTCAGAGTTTCTTGCTCCTTTTATATCAGAAATGACCAAGCATTCCACATTGTAAGGTTTGCTGGAGTATAATGCAGAGTTGTCAGAAAACTTTCCATTTTTTAAAAGGTCTTAGATTTATCTGTTTTTCAGACATGTTTAAATGCATGGTTACTCAGCAAGGTTGAGTTACTGAACATCTGCTGGCCAATACTGAGGGGCCAGGAGATTCTAATTTCTCATATGCCACGTTACTGTAGTGGCCTTGACGAAATTGGAGAATTCTTGGGGAGTTTACCATTTTTTCCACACTCAGAGTGTGTGTTAGAGCTTTGCAGGGTTGTTAGAAAACTAGAGCTACTGAAGTTTCCAGCCAAGCCTCCCCCGACCCTGCTAGGGAATGTTTTAGTTAAATCAAGAGCATGAAATTTGCTCTGTTGGATTTCCATCCCTTGTAACGTTCACAGCACCTTTCAGTGTAGTTAGTTCTATATGGTAATGGCTGTCTTCTGTTTTTAATTCAGATGATTAGTGTAAAATATTACACTAGTCTTTAGCAAAGAGCACTGTTATTAATAAGTTCCTATTGAATGCTTTACTGCAATTTATTATAGGTTTTTTTTTCACTTCTAAACCTGTCATCTGTTTTAGTCCTGGTCTTGGAGCAATTTGAGTTTGTTTTGAAATAGATTTTCTATTTGCAGTTCAGTGAACTGTACTGTTCATTACAGGACATTGCTATGAAAATTGGAGCTTTAGAATAACAGAATTTCAGCGTGTATGTGTTCCTCTGGACTAGTAACTGTTCTCATTGAAGGTAATTGTTAAGTACAGCGGTTCATTCTCAATATTAGTGAGTCACATTGTGGTGTTCAGCAGTTTTGTAAATCCCTCTTTTTCTATCTCAGATTTCTCTGAACTGTTGCTTCTTGTCTCTTCCATGGTAGGAAAAGACAGAATAATCTTTGCAACCAAGGAGGACCATGAGACACCGAGCAGTGCTGAGCTGGTTGCAGATGACCCAGATGACCCCTACGAAGAGCAAGGTCAGTAGTGAGCAGAACAGAAGTAAGGGGTGTTACATCATATATATATCCAACAGAAAACAATCCCTGCATGAATTAGAAAAACGTAAGCATATATAAAGCCTGAGGGCAGTAAGTTGATGGCTTTTAGTTTAGGTTAGTGGCCAGGGATATGCAGGGATATCTTTTTCTTTTATTAATAATGTTAGAACCTAATTGAGTGAAAATTATGATCATTTTTCCTCTGTTTTAAGTAGCAGAGTGCAATTTTCAGAGAAGCTAGAGTGAGTTCCATATCACTGTCATTGAAGTGAGATGCTCACCTGCCTGTGAGCAGCTGGAATTGCCTACTATAGCAATCTCTGAATATCTTATTTAATATAAATTAATATCTGGCTAATCAATATTATACTGGTAGCAATATAATCAATATCTTTCAGTGCCACACGACAGGTAAGTTAAAATTATTGAGTTTTCAACTGTAATCATTGTGCCTTGAATATGCAAAAGTTTTCAGGAAGATTACAGTTCTTGTCTGAAGTATATCTAACCTGAAAATAGAGATTTAAGAGAGCAGAATACTTCTGAGACCAAGACTTACAATATTCTGGTTGCATATTTTAAATAATGGGTAAATGAAATATATTTCCAATAATGCTGATTTAATAAATTTTGCTCTGGGTTAATAATTATCATGGAAATGTGAGTTTTGGTTAATTTTTTTCTAATTGCCTCTATGTTTACAGATCTTTTGGTCTCTTCACTTTGTGGGAAGGGATTTCATTGGTTTCAGCTGAACTGAAGCTGAAGTAAATTCTTCAGACTCTTTGAAACTTCGTTAGAAAGTGAAAGTTATGCTTTCTAAAGTGTCTCAGAGACCTTTAGAGGGCAGCATTTAAGCAGTTTAGCAGCTGGAGCTCACAGGGTCTCTGTTAGCTGATATGGTGTGTCGTGTAATTCGAACCACACCTTCCTATGTCATTAAAATTAACTTTTTTTCATACTTAGACTTGCGGTGAAATGTTACTGCATTATCTGCCTATTTTGGTTTCATTTGAGCTATATGTAGTCAGTTATATATCCAAGTGTTTTTCTCACCTGCACTGATAAGTCTGTTGATGTCCTGGTGTGACATACTTTAGGGTAACAAACTAGTCAAAATTTTAAAAAACACTTTATTTTTGTTTAAATGCCATATAATTCATTGCTCTTATGTGTATTTTGATGGAAAGGCTGTGGTGAGGAGGAGAGATGATGTGGTTTGTTTCCTGCAGTCCTGCATTTACAGAATGTTAGGTCACTTTCTTCCTCAACAATTGATAGAGAAGAAAGGAGGAAAGGCAGGAGGTTTTTATGTCACCTTACAGTGACAGTATGTATCTGGTTATTCAAAATGAGAAACTATAAACTATGTTTAAGTACTGTCAAAAAGTTTGGGTGGGGATTTCTTGTTGTGTGATTTTCTTTGTTAGTTTGTTGAGTTTTCTTCTTAGTATGTGGTACATTACTCTGTGTTTTTAAGTCTGAAAAACCTCTTGAATGACGCAGGGCCACAGTGCATTAGGTCAGAAGAGAGAAAATGGACCTATCCCAGAATGTAGCAGTAGGGAGTGAAGCTTATGGGCAGGAAAGACATGGGTAAAATGGTTTGGAATATGTTGAAATGCTGAAGCTCTGGCATGCATTGCTTTTGTTTAAAAGAAAATTGGGAAGGGTTTTGCTGTACCTAGTGTAACATGTAGGCTTTTCTAATTTAGCTTCTACGTGGAATAGAAAACTTGGTTTCCAGTGTTGTATAATTAACTGTAAGGACTCTTTTCATCTTTTCCGCTGTGCCAAAGATACCAGTCATATCTGGGAAAGAATAGATGCATTATAAAGACCTGCCATAATCTGCATTGTTTTCTAATACACCTGAAACTTGTGTTTGAGGTTTTGTTTTTTTTGTAGGGGCCTTTTTCATACTTGAGATAAACATCTAGTTTTGTATGTGGTGATTTTTGATAGTTCTTATTTTGTCCTAGACATTAGTCTTTGAGCGGTCTACTTGAATCATTAGATTGGTCAGGAAAACTTGTGTTCTGTTTCCCTTAGGATAAAAACCAGTTGTATACTGCTCTTATTTCTATTAGTATTTTGTTGTTGTATCAGCTGGGCAATTTTGGTAGGCAAAATGTTAATGACTCACTTTAACTTAAAAACATTGAAAGAATAAAAGCCACGGGAAATGGAAAGGCATACAAACTGGAATAAGTTCAGGTTAGTATTTCATACTGCAGTGAAGATCACAGTTCAGTGTCTGTGCATTTTGACAGCTGTGGCTGATGGAAACAAATTAAGAATTCATTTGCAGTGGTTTTGGAATAGTATTGTTACTGTAAAGCATCTTTCTAGTCCTATGTGTTGCAGATGGTGGAATTTAAACATGAAAGACTCCTGGTTTTCACTGACATCTTGGCTGCCTTCACTTCGAGTAATTTTTGCTTTTATTAAGCTTATATGAAGAAGGCAATGATGAGTTTTATGCATGCAAAGTGGTTTTTATTAGTGTTACAGCTGTGATGGGAAAGTTGGATAAAAGTACTTATGGAATTGGACCTCAAACACAGATTGTCTTTCCCTTCTGTTTTTCCAGACTTGTTCCTGTCATCTTTTTTATAAACAGTTTTAAAGTGGTTTCTAGAGGGGACTGATGAAGCAAAACTCCACGTTCTTTTAAGAAAGAACTTGATGAATGATCAGATGTACAGGACTGTTTCTATGACTAATGATGTCCCTTTCAATCCTGCTTCCTGTCATCTTACACTGTGACTCCCTGGCAGATAAACTTGTTATTGGAGTGTTTGTCATGTAACAAGGAAGAAACTCATCTCAGAACAACAGTGGGACTTCATAGCAGCGAGTTCAAAGACAAGTGTTGACACAGATGCAGATGGGCCTGCCTTTGGCCATGACATGAGCAGCTTCCATGAGCCACGAGACTTTAGGTTGTCATGTCAGCTGGGATCATAGCACAGTACTTCTCTTGTTCTTGATAGATGAACATACTTTGTGTATGTTCATACCAGGTAGAAAAAGGAAATAGAGATGTATTTATTGCATTAGAGACTAGCAGTCCACAGGACCAGGTCTGTTACATTGAATTTCTAAAATCAGAGGAAAGGAGTTCTTCAGCTTGCTGTTTGACCTTCATTGTGTAAATCAGTTGCCATCTAGAAACACATATGCCCTTAAATCTTCAACCTGCCAGGCCACCAGTGAAGTATTTCTGTCAAGACTTCAGCTGTTCTAGAACAGAGGTTTAAGGCTGTTCTAGTTTAGAGTCTGAAGTAACACTTAACTCCTTTCAGTTGTACAATTTGGTTTCTGGCAACCTGATAGGCAGGCTTGCTCTCAGGCATGCTGTTCTTGTGTTCTGTGGCACGTAACTTAATCTTTACAAATACACTGATTTTTGCTTTTGCAATTCTGGTCTTCCAGTTGAAATTTGAAGGGGGAAAGTTGTGAGTTATTTCAGAGTTTATTTCAAGCAAGAAGAAAAATGCATCCATTTGATTTGATTTAAAAGATTTCTAGTCTTAATATTGGATTTAAAGTCTTACTATTTGTATGGAATGATTTTAATGCTTGCTTGTTCCCTTGACAGAGTCTGGCAAATCGATTGACTTGACATCTATCTGTTTTGCTGTTCCCTTAGAATATTCTCAGTGGTCTATAGTCCAGGGAGAAGGACTTAATTCAGAGATGGATAGAGACCTAATCTCACTTGTGCCCATTAAAGGATTATACAGATCAGAGGGGGAAGCAGATTGGCTGGGAAGTGAAAGGTGTTTATCAGCCTTGAAGCTACAGAGCTAAGATGGCATTATAAGTGCTTGAGTTCACACCTGCAGCCCAGCAGCTGTCACTGAGTGAAATCAATGTTTGGAAGGAGCATTAACTTTTCTTCTCTCTTGTTTGTTCAGGATTGATATTGCCCAATGGAGATATCAATTGGAATTGCCCATGTCTGGGTGGAATGGCTAGTGGTCCCTGTGGGGAGCAGTTCAAGTCAGCCTTTTCTTGTTTCCACTATAGCACAGAAGAAATAAAGGGATCAGACTGTGTGGACCAGTTCCGTGCCATGCAGGAATGCATGCAGAAATACCCAGATCTTTACCCTCAAGAAGATGAGAATGATGAGAAGTCCAGCAAAGATTTGGAAGCTGCCTCTATGGAGGCCTCTGCTGCCAAAGAGGAGAAGGCATCCAGCTAATGAAGATGCAAGGAGGCTGTCGTCTCCATTTCTCATTTTCAGAGACTTGGACTTCTGCAGTGTGTCTGTCTTCTGAGTAGTGAGGAAATGTTTCACCATATTCTGTGCACTGTATCAAAATAAATAATTTATTCCTGAAGGAGAAATCTCACAGCTTCAGCCTTGCAAATAAATACTGCAAAAAGAGTGAGTGTGTGTATGTACTGTGTAACCTGATTTTGGACACAGTTAAAACTTTAACAGCTGTTCTTTACCCTGAAGTTTTCCTTGAGTTTTGACTTGAATAATGTCTTGAAGTACATAGCTCTCAACTAAAATTCCACTGGCACACCAGGTCTGTCTTCATTTCAGTATGTTCTGATCAGTAGCTGCTTTTAATTTAATGTATTCAGTTCTATTAATAGAAATTACATTAAATGATTGTTTTTCCTTTAAGATTTTTTTTTCCAAAGTGATGCAAGACATTGAAAATGGTCTAGATCTAGAATTTCTAAAATAATTTCAATTACTAGATTATGCTTGCATTTCACTACTGGCATCAGACTAGGACTGCCAGGAAAACGTTGAAATGCACATCTTCTTTGATTTCATTTACTTACTGTGATGCCTTTTGCATTTGTAAAAATGGTGTGTTGTGCAACTGAAGATTAAGATGAATGAAAAGAATGTTGGTCACTGGCTTTATTTTTGCTCTGAAAATACAGATTTTGGTTTCCTTTGGTTATTACCTTCTCCTTCAATATATAGATGGGCACTTGTAAAATACTTTGAGATACAATAAATTGTTACCTGGTGTAATGATCTCAAAACAGATACTGTGACTTAAGTGCATATTAAAAAGTAAATACTTTTTACCCTCACTGGAAGCTCCTGTGTCATTGTGGTGTGGTGTTTTGTTTGGTTGGTTTTTTGTTAACACTGATGGGATTTGAGAACTGTTCTGTGCTGTAAGCAGACCTCAAATTAAATTGTGGGTTGTGAAGATCAGTTGCTCTAGCTTGTCAGATTTTTATTCTTATTCTTTTCTCCCCAGCGCAGGCATAAAAAAACCTAAAGCTTTTTCAGTACCTGTAGTGGACTGGATCATGAGCCAGCAAATAAACATGAACAGCTATTACAATATTTGAAAATTACTTAAGTAGTGCAAATAATTTAATAGTTCACTATAGTTTAATAGCTGTAGATAAGCTATGCTACATTGTTTGTCTTTCTGAGCAAAAGATAGGCTGTGAGATTTTTTTTTTCCCAAAAGAGATTGTGGCTGTGTTTTTTTTGATTTTTTCTCTCCTTGTGTTGGCTACCTCACCCAAAGCATAAGAGGTTGTAGTGTCAGTAATGCAGCCCACAAAGTCCAGCAATGTTTTAACACTTGCCTTTCTCTGTGGGCAGCACTCTGGGGTGCTCAGCAGCATTAATTCCATATTGCACTTTTGTGTCTTGCTTGCATAAGGAAATTTGGTGCCACTAATGTTTCTGAAAGTTTGAGGGGAATTTCTGTCAAGTTTTACAGTGTGCTTGAGGTGTTTGTATTTCAGTGCAGCTGTTGAATCCCCAGAAAAAATCTGGAGGCAGTTAAGTGGCTTACAACTACTTTGTTCTGAGGGCAGTGATAGCAGGGACTCTTGGCATCACTGCTTTTCAAAGAAACAAAATGACACAGAACTTCTCAGTGTGACTCTTTCAGGCATAGGAAGCCAAGTGCCAAGTTAACCTGAGTAAACAGGCACAGAAGCAGCAGAGATAATCTTTGGCACTTAGGCATTTGGGCCATGCAAATGAAATCTTAGGCAATAGATGAACACTGGGCACCAAATTAAAAAAAAATCACATGCACCCAAGCTTCTGGTTGTTCAAACAGAAATCTAGTGCACTGTCTGTGAGGAAGCAAGAGCTGTTTTCAAGGTGTGCTCTGTTCTAACAAGTTGCCTCTTCTTTCTTGCTGTGCTTTTCTTTTACACATTGCCTTTGTGCTGTAAAGTGTTTGGGTTTATCTTCTGCAACTGTATTTGTAGCACCTGTGTAGAAAACATAAAATGTGCAAATCTTGGCCTACAGTGGTAGAGATGTGCACCTAATACTGACAGAGGGAGCCTGGGGCATAATCTGACACATTGGAAGATGTGTTTAGGATGGATTTGCTTCTTTCTGACTGTTGTGGCTTGGTAACCTGTTGTGCTGCAGTACAAATATGAAATATGTAAGGATCTTACACCAGAGACTGTGAAGAGCACTGTGTGATGTGTTTGAAGTGTCTTGAAAAAGGAAGTCATAGCTTTAATCCTAAATAATTCCTTGTGGAATTTTTTTTTTTTTTTCTGTGTAAACTCATGCAGTTGTGAATGCATAGATTATGTAACTCCTTGTTTCTGTTTCCCAGCATTGCTTCATTTGTGTGATTTTTCTTCTATAGTTACACGCCCCAATTTTAAATCTAAAATCAATCAGTGGTTATTCTAATATATAATAAAGATGATAAAATGATCCTTGGCAATATATGACAAGCTTGTGAAATAAGCAGATGGTAAGTTGCATTTTTATTGTGTGGATACAAAACTTAGAGTTGCATATGTCTTGTTTTAATGTGTTTCTTATTTTATATATTCATTTTATAAATAACACCTTGTTTTTCTGTCTGCCATCACTGAGCTACTGGTTCTTGGAGAGAAAGTAGTAGATTCAAATGGGTTTGAGCAATTGTGTTTATAGAGCCATTTCATACTGATTTTATGTTATCAGGTGATTTTGTCAAGTCATAGGTGCTGCTGTGTGAAGTCACAAGTAGTCCTTGGGAGATAAAGAAACCTTTCATTATTAAAGAATTGTTCTTTAATTCTGTGCCTTTAGTTAAACTTTGGCCTTTAAAAGCTGATGTGCTGAGTGTAATTAAATGTTTATAAAAGTTCAGCTAAAAGAATCTGTTAACAATACATGAAGCACTTCTAGATGTATCAGAATATCTTTCCAATACAAGTTACTTAGGCCAAACAGTTACATATAGATAGAATTCCAGTTGAATTTTTTTCTGTTTAGTTTTTAGAATAGAAAGACATTGTTTTAATTGTATTCTCCCTACAGACCTACCATTGCTGCCAAAATACTCCCTTGTGTCATATTGCTGTGAAATACTCCAGATTTTCAGTTTTAACCATTCTTCAGTTTTTGCACACCCTTGTCCTCCTCTGGTACAGTGGTGAAACAATCTGCTTTTGAAAGCTGGGTGGACTGTTATCAGCTAGCTGCAATTCCTGCATGATGAAGGCACAAATTCATCTATAACTTGTGATAACTTCCTTGTTAGGATGGGATTGTTTGTGCAATCCACTTAAACTTGAATCAGTGGTGCATGTATTACATATCCTGATGTTGATAATGATTGCATCTAAAACTTGTCTCTTTTAGATGATCCTTTAACAAAACATATATTCTAAAATGTAAAAGAGGACTGAAAAATAGTTAAAATTAGACAAAATTGCATTTTCAGAATTAAAAGTTGCTCACTTTTTTTTTCTGCTGTTCTCTGCAGTACAGCCTGAGGGCATTGCAGAGAACTGACTTCAATTTGTGTGTAGTAACTTTCCTAGAGGTATGGCCTTGCTTCAGGTGCAAAAAAAAAACCCCTTTTTTTTTCCTTCCTCCCTGCAAAAGGAATGATGAACAAAATGGTGGCTAGAAGGAGACGTTTATCTTGCAGGCCATTGTAGGGATCACTAGATCTGGGGATCTGGCAGGGCTGTTTTGGAAACAAGATCTATATCCTGTGCAGTTCTGACTGAGAGTGTCCTTGTTAACCTGACAGCAATGGCTCCTGTGTATCTGAGGCACTGATCTGATCACATGTCAATGAACCTACTTATTCCTAGGGAAGTAAAAAAGGGAATTTGTGTGCTTCTGGTCTCTTGTTTTACCTCATTAAAATTCTGTCAGTGTTAGTGTGGGCAGTGTAGAGAAGCTACCAGCAGTTTGTCATTTATTCCTAGTCAGCTCTCTTCACTGGACATGATTTCATTTTGTTGAACAGGAGCCTGTCTGCAGTCGTTTTTCAACTGCTTTTAACCCCTCTGGAGCTGATGTTTTGTTGGTGATGGTGGAGCTGAGAGAAGACACACCCAACAGAGGAAGAGTAGAGGAGTGCAGCAATGATTATAGCACCAATGTTTGTTTTTTAAAATGGCTTATTGTAAATCAGTATTGATGATGTGTGAGCAGACAGCTCAGGATGGCCAAAACAATGAGCACAGGAGGATTTCTGGTGATTCCACAGTGCAGATTAACACAGATGGCACAACAATGTGAAGGGTAGGCTAACACAGTATTTGTTATACCCTAGATGACATGTCCAGTTACTTGTTTCTGAGTGTTACAGGTTCCTTACACCTCCTAAGAAAGTTAAAACATCCCCTCACAGTGCATCATTCCCTTCGTAGGATGCTGTATGGAAAACATAATCTGTGGTTCCAAGTTGTATTTCTACTAGCAGTAGCTAGTAATGCTAGTAAATGAATGTGTCAAAAAATAACTTTTATTCACAGAAGAGAACTATGCAGATGCTTACCCTCCCCACAAAACCACCAGTCTGGCACAAAAAGTAGAATAGAGGTGTTTGCTTTAATACGGTGCTGACTATAAACCAACATGGAATATCCTCACTATCATTAAATAAGATCCCCTACAGGTAAAACGGCCTCTGTTGAAAAGCACGTTCCTTAGTTTAATTCTAAACCTACACTTGAATTTCATTTCTTGTGAGAGGCCCTTTGAGATCAGACTGTAAATTCATGTACAGGTCTTTATTGATATTTGAAAGAGAACTAGTTAATCTTTTTGTTGTGAGACAATTTCTGGAGACAGTAAAGAAAGCAGTTGCTGGGCTCCTAATTTCATAAGGCTGACATTTCAAATTCTGCCAAATGCCTTGGTTAAAAAGTGTTTTATTGCATTAATTAAATAGCCTGTTGGAGATGCCACATTGTTGGATACCAGTTTAGGTAACAACAAATAAATTAAGAAGTGAAAGGGGGAAAGCAGTGGAGGAAGGGAAATTTTCTGAAAAATAGGAAGGAAGAAACACTAGAAACACTCTTTATATCTTTTTGGGAAACAAATTGGAGCATTTTTTTTGCCTAAAAAAAAAGCTATTCTTTTTTTTTTTTCCCTTTTTTTGCCTGTCATCCATTTCCAAATGAGCTAAAGGTATCTCTGCTGTTCAATCAATGTGAAATTCAAAGTAAAATAGGAGTTAATAGAATGGAAGTGGCTGAATTCTCATTGGTAGAGAACAAAACAATGTCGTAACTTGTAGGCTGGATTTCGATTGTTCTGCATTAGTATGAGGGTTTCTGGTGTACCACTTACCAGTCAGACAGTGCTAAATGAAAACATCTCTTCTTCCCTAGGAGCATTAAAAATTAAACATGGAATTGAAACATGCTAAAGTAGCATGTGTGCTTCTCTTTCTCTATAACTCCCTGAAAGAATATAGATTGATTCATTGTGATTTTTGCTTAGTTGAAGAGAGAGTGCTCCAACCAACTTCATTTGGTTATGAGTCCTTAAACGGGGGACACAGGTCTCAAACTTCAATTTCCTCAAAATTCTGTGTTAGGAAAGGATTTAAGTAGCTACCTCTTGATTACTATAGGGTAAAATTGATTTAGAAATAATGCTTTTGCAGAGCAGAACTAATTTTACCTGGAGTGCAGATGTTATCACTCCTGTGCTTTTGCAGAGGGAGGAATAATCCTCAGGCACTATGGGAAGGAAGCAGAGTTTCAGCATCTTACCCTGAAGTGTGACCAAGAGAAATAAAGCACAATGAAAGCACGGAGTGCAATCGAAGGCCAGTGGTCTTGAGCAGAGTTGG